GGACTTTAACAGTATATGCCATGCTATGACGTGTATCGTAACAATGGATTGGTCCCTTCAACCTCTCAGCAAAACACCACATCTTCTTCTTTTAATCTCCCAACTGCCCCCCCCCCTCGCCTCCCTCGCCTCCCCCCTTCCCGTCCCCCCCTCAGAGGATCCGGGCGTCCGGCCTCCTGCTGCTGGAGATGATCTTGTTCGGCTCTCTGCTCCTCTACTTCCCGGTGAGTGTCAGAGCTTATAGAGCTCTTACAGATCACTGCACGGCGCCGCGGATTATTTCATAATGGACCATTTGTTGGGGGAGGAGGGGGAGTGGGGGTGAACGCGGGTGAGCGAGTGCGAGAGTGAGAGCGGGACGGGCGGGTTTAGGTGGGTCGACGGTTTTCATAAATCAATCTTTGGATTCATTTGACCAAACAATGAGCCGTTAACGTAGATGAGCGGTGACTTTGTACCCGTGTGAGCGGCAGTCAGACTATATGAGGCCTTCCTGCTGCTCGGTTATTGATCCTTGATCGAGTTCCCGATGTGTGAACGTGTTAATGGGCGGTTCTGGCAGCTCGGCGCCTCTCAAACTGCAAACTGGTGGTGACCATTTCAAACTCTCCGTTCACAGTACATTTCTTTTCAAACACAAATATATATATATATAAAATTCCATGTGTACACATCATATGATGTAAAATACCTTTACCCAATACTCATTTTCACTGAACGGAGCCTGAACGCATCATGATGAAACGGAACAGAACCATTAGCTGCTAACGTGGCTAATGATTTAAACACTGACTGGTTGTTTTTAACTTAACATCAGAGATCAAAGTATGTATTCCAGTGAATAAGTGTATTATTTTTCTTTGAAACAGTTGCACAATGGATCACTAACACTAATAATGTTCTTTATATGAGCCGAGAGAAGACCCCTCTAATAACAGTGTGTTATGTCACTGTTTCAAAGTTAAGTAGAGATTCACAGGAGGGTCTGAACTGCAGTCGGCCCACACAGCTGACTGCGGTTCAGACCGCCCCAGACGAAAGGTCGGTCAGTTCACCCTCTCATCTCGCCGGGGGGGGGGCGGCTGCGCTCGGGCGGCCATTTCATCTACAAACAGATCACCTGCTGAAGGGCTCGCGTTGGGTTTTTCATTTTCTAAACCCAACAACGTAAATTTATTGGCCTTTGCGTCCGTAGTTGGTGTAGTGGTACTAATATTCAGGGTATCCATTAGTGGTCCATTAGTACCAGATGCTGCAGATTCTGCATCAAATAATAGCAACAGAGCTTTTAAAAGCTGCGGTTGCGGTCCTTGTTGCATGATTATCCACAGCGACAGCATGAGCAGCAAGTCACCGTAAAGTCCCTTCTACTCACAGGAAGTGTTTCTCCCTGCAGGTGTTCATCATGTACTTCAAGCCGAGTACGTTCAGGTGCATTCTGCTCCGCTGGGTCCGAATGCTCGGCTTCTCCATCGTCTACGGGACGGTCACTCTGAAAATGTACAGGTAGGTTTGCATCAGTTTGTATTTCACAGTAACATCCAACAATGACTCCTGCTGGTACTTAAAGGTCGACTGTTGCACTTTTACAAATATCACACTTTCACGCTTTGAATTGGCGCCGTTAGCCAAAAACACGTTTAACATTGCAATAATAATTGAATGATATCGAAAGACTTTTAAAAGTATCAAATGTTAGTTCTGTGTTACTTCTGGAAAATAATAGTTTCATGTGCCATTATATCATAAATGTGATAAACAGCCTCATTTAGACTCCCACTGAAACATTAGCGGTCTTTGTTTTACCTCGCAGGGTCCTGAAGGTCTTCCTCTCGCGCACGGCCCAGCGGGTGCCCTACATGTCGGGCCTGCACCTGCTGAGGATTCTGGGAGTGATGCTGATGACGGTCAGCTGGTTCCTCTGCGCGTGGACGGTCGGCGTCCTGCAGAACCGCGACAGGAACATCCCGGTGTTCGTGGGGACGAGCACGTGGGACGGCCAGGGGTTCAACCTGTGCCACGTGGACCGCTGGGACTACATGATGGCTGTGGGTGGGTGGCAGCTCGGCAGAAAGGAACATGGATCCTCTCCTCCAACACTGCCGTTATTTCTCTTTCTATTCATGAATTTGTGTCATGGAATCAACTCAATTTGCGTGTAGTTTTACCTCGAGTAGTGGTCAGGAAATTCTATTAATAAATAATATTTGATTCATCTTTTTTTAATCTACTTTTATCAACACCTATCCTTACTGGACAATTTATTACAATTTGAGCCATCAATGATTTCTCCCAGTAAAAGACCGCCATGCCCAAAAGTATAAGTCCTACCCTGATTGGGCTCCACCTTTGAAGGTCATGGGCTCCAAACAGTACAAACCAAACCGAAAACAAGGTTGTTTTTAAAGGTAACGCCAATAGTGAGCACACTTCAATCACACAATAATCTCTTATATAAGTCTGTGTGCACACAACTCCAGTCAGCACAGTAGGTCAAAGGTGAGTCGTGAAACCACCGCTAACTCGTCTGAGTTACTTTAACACCTGACCTCTGACCTCGCCCTCCTCAGCCGAGCTTCTGTTCCTGTGCTGGGGGAGCTCCCTGTGGAGCGCCGTCAGGCCGGTTCCCTCGGCCTTCCACGAGCCTCGCTACATGGGCATCGCCATCCACAACGAGCTGCTTCTGTCCTCCGCCTTTCATCTGTTCAGGTAGATGCCCTCGGAGGCCCCAGGGGGGAAATATTCACACAAACCGCGCACACGTGTGACAGGACTTTGGCTTCTTTTTTTTCTCTGCGTCCCGCGCCCCCCCCCCGGGCACTTTCCCTCTCTGGCATCCCGATTGGGAGGTTGGAGCCGGCCCTTATGCGCACACACGGTGACATCACCCGGGACGCTCGGCCCTGGTCTTCGTTCCCCAAGTACTCGCGGCATCTCGGGCTAGAATAAGGGGCGAATGCATCGGGGAGCAAGTGAAGGTTCTTACACCAAAGTGTAAAAATACTATTTTATACATGAAAGTTCTGCTGTCAAAATGTTACCAACCAGTTTTATCAAAAAGTATAAATAATAGAAACGTGTTTTTTTGCACGTGTCAATATTTCCACGCGGATCGGATTCGATCAGTGTGTCATAAACATGTGTTTGATGTTTTTGGAGGTCCTCCCGGGGGCGTAAGAGTGCGTCAGTGGGGGTTCTGGCTCTTGGGAGGAAACAGTTTAGCTAGAGATTGGCAAGATTCCGGGATAATCCATCAAATTGCCTTTTTGCCCCCGTGTCTCCTCCCCAGTTTCTTTATGTGTCCAAGCCGGCGAGGGCGGAGATCGCCGCGGAGGTGTACGAAGAGGAGGTGGACCTGCGGCGCTCCGGCTCGTACCTCAACAGCAGTTTTCACTCTGCGTGGAGTGAACACACCGGAGTGGACCCGGAGGACTTTCGGGTAAACTCTCCTGTCCCCTCAGAACGATGCTATCACTTCGCATTAGGATATAATTTACAACGTGAGGAAATTCCCAAGATCACATTTAAATAAGGAAAATAAATGTCCCTAAATTTCAGTCGTGATCAGTTGTAAACTCACATAAAAAGATCTTAAAAGTGTTATAATTTAAATTATAAATTAACAGTGAATAGAATCAGCTGTAGAAAGAACCTATGCAGTATAACCCTTCTCCACCCTTTACCCTTGTCCTAAACGGGGGTCTTCTTACATGGAAACATGTCTGTTACCTCTCCTCTGACTTGTTACTCTCCATATGTTTTCCTCTCCTCAATCATTTACTCAATCCCATCATCCATTTTCTCCCCTCTTCATGTGCACCAGGATGAACTGAGGAAGTTATATGCCCAGTTAGAAGTCCACAAGACCAAAAAGATGACCGCAAACAATCCTCACCTGTCAAAGAAGCGGAGTTCTCGCTGTGCATTGGGCAGATCCATTATTAGACGCATTGCTGAGATCCCAGAAAACATGAGCCGGCGGTGCAGCCGCGACGACAGAGAAGGATCCTTCCACAGCAGGATGAGTGCCAACCAACCCGAGTCTTTCAGGAGAACCCCAGATAACGTCTGCATCAGTTACAAAAGTTCCATGAAATCCCCATCGATGCGCAAGTCCCAAAGTGATCATCACTATGTCAGGGAAAGAGACCCCCCCTTGAAGGAAGACTCTGTGAAGAGGTTCTCGCGACAATCTGAGACCGATTCCTTGGATATCCCACCAGGTGTTTGCAAGTCAGCCAGTGCTCAAAATCTGTCAATTGATACCAATCTCCTGCATCCTGATCACACCAGGCTCCACAAGTCCTGGAGCCTGACCTCAACCACCACCCATTCCATGGAGAACTTACCCAAGGTTAGCAGATCCAAAACAGTGCTGTCGAGGTCCCGGCAGAGCATTTCCATTAGCGAGCAGACGAGGAGCGCTCTCCAGCTAGAGTCATTTGACAAGGCTGAGGTCTGTCCTTGGGAGATGGCTCAAGAACAATCTGGGGACAAGAACCAGAAACATGTCACCTACGCAAACTCTGAGGACGGCTCCAACAGAGGGCCACAATCTCCAGAAGCGCTAGTCTGTCCCTGGGACCATTTCCCATCCGTAGAAAAGAACCCTTCAGAGGACAGGGGGGAGAGCGGCTCCCCAAAACCACAGGTTTGTGCGTCTGTGAGTGCACCAGGCACGCCAAGGGCAAAGGCCACGAAAGATCACCGCGTTTTCTCCTTCCGCGGCACCAGCACCAAGTGGCTCGCTGTGAAAGCACTCATGGGATCCTTCGATAGCGGAAGCCAGTCCAGTAAGGACGGAAGTTTAAATGAGTTCAAGGATTCTGTTTCACAGAAAAGTCAGGAGAGCACTTGCACAATGCCGAGATGGGGAACATCTAGTCGACGTCCCAGCAAGGAAAAGAAGTCACTGCAGAAAAGAAGCATGACAACGGTGGAAAAACCATGTCTCGTGAAACAGAATGCCGTCAGACTTTCTTCCGGGGATTCTACCGACAGAAGCCTCAGGCAGCTTGTCATCGTGAAATCGGGCGTCTACCCGTGGGATGTGGATGATGTGCAACAAGGTGGCACCTGTGAACATGTGTTTTTATCGAGGCAGAACAGCAGGCGTAGTAGTATCGGTTCTTGGGAAACCGCTAGCAGCTGTAGAACTCCTTCAACTCACCGACGAGGAAGTAATCGAATCACACCAGTCCGCAGCGCTGCCAACAAAGATGTGTGTCCATGGGATGGAGCTGGTGCTTCCCAGGACGGATGGGGACTCCAGAAGCAGCCGAGCATCAAAGCAGACGTCTGCCCTTGGGAATCTCAGCCATCCAACGTACGTCCATGGGAACCTCAAGAGCAAGGGGTCGGGAGCAGGCGTGGAAGTGGGCTTGTTGAGGCGTGTCCCTGGGAATCACAGGATATTCCAGTTATTTCTTATACTAACACGTCGAGAGATTCACAGGGACAACAGTCTTTGAAACGTCCAGCAGATGTATGTCCCTGGGAGACTCCGGGAAGTCCCCAACCTTTGTTAAAGCAAGATAAAGAATTTACTAATGTTTGTCCCTGGGATGCTCAGGACAAGGCTGAAGTTGTATACGAAAACCTAAATCCTTTGGAGACCAAGGGGACGCTGTCTGTACCTCTTCGACAAGTCATGAAAGCTGCTATCCATCCTGGGGTGTCAAAAGACATTTTAACTGATGAGCACCATGCAAAATACCCTAGCCTGCATTTGGGGAAAGAAATGCCAAAGGCAGCCGAAAGTTGTCCCTGGGATTTCCCTGATCCCCCTGAATTAACGGGAGACATTTGTCCATGGGATGAGGGGAACACTGAGCCAACGGATACAAGCTCAACCACACAAATGAACATCAAGGTAGATATTTGTCCCTGGGAGAGTGGACATCAACACAAACCAGCAGGCTCACAAAAAGGTACTTCGCCTTTGAGAGATTCTTCTGTGCAGACTAATGGGGAAGACGGCACAGAAGTAAACATATGTCTCCGGAAAACCGATAAAACCACAGCAACCAGTATCTTCTCAAAAGGACTGGAAAGGCCAGCAGATGTTTGTCCATGGGATAGTGCTGAACTAGAATCAAGAAATCCACCGACTCCCAAAACATCTGAGAAGCATGTGAGGCAAGATGCAGTTTGCACAGAGGCGGTGAAAGCGCAAGTGTCAAAAGCAAACTTACAAAGACAAGGAACGTCAAGGGAAGACATTTGTCCTTGGGATACAGAAGAACCAAAGGTTCTCAAAAAGCAGGAGAGCACTACGGGAGATGTTTGTCCTTGGGAAACAGATAAACCAAAGGTTCTCCAAAAGCAAGAAAGCACTCTGGGAGATGTTTGTCCTTGGGAGACAGAAGAACCAAAGGTTCTCCAAAAGCAAGAGAAGACTGTGGGAGATGTTTGTCCTTGGGAGACAGAAGAACCAAAGGTTCTCCAAAAGCAAGAAATGACTGTGGGAGATGTTTGTCCTTGGGAGACAGAAGCACCAAAGTTTCTCCAAAAGCAAGAAAGCACTCTGGAAAATGTTTGTCCTTGGGAGACAGAAGAACCAAAGGTTCTCCAAAAGCAAGAGAAGACTGTGGGAGAAGTTTGTCCTTGGGAGACAGAAGAACCAAAGGTTCTCCAAAAGCAAGAAAGCACTCTGGGAGAAGTTTGTCCTTGGGAGACAGAAGAACCAAAGGTTTGCCAAAGACAAGAGAGCGCACAGGGAGATGTTTGTCCATGGGAGTCTGATGATCAACAAACCTCAAACAGGAGCGAAGTTTGTATACCCAATAGTGAGGAAGGAGAAGTCCCAGAGAACCAGGAGCCACTGTGTGTTGAAGATGGCCCAGCAGACATTACCCCAGAGCAGATAGACGAGTCCAAACAGAACCTGGCCCTGGGCCGCCGCGATGCTTTGTGTCCCTGGGACATGAGACTGAGCCAATCGGGCTCCTTCACGGACAACGCCACAGATGTCTTCACATGGGAGCCCGAGAATATTCCTGAGGAAGACGAGGAGGACGATGCAGAATGTGCCGCTGAGGCTTTTGTGTTCCCGTCTGACTTGTGATCTAGATGTTGCTCGTCGATGGTCGAGGGGAGCCTTGTTTCCGCAGAGTGCAGGATCTGCTCACCAGGCTGCAATAAGCGCTAATCGTAGACAGAACGCAGGGCGTTGTTATTTCAAGTTGGATCATCTGATGAAGAGGACTCGATGGGCGGGACCTAGCTGGCCGCGCGAACTTGAGTAACATTAAGTCCTGTTTCAGCAGAAGCAGGCAAGCGGTACGTCCCTCACTGAACCTGCCAAGAATACGGACAGACTTTTCTTGGCTGGAGGGCGTCTTGAGGCTTTTAGATGATGTCCCTTTTCTTCCCGCTTCTACCCCCCTCATTTTAAAGTTGAGGTGTTTTTTGTGTCTTTGTGTGTTTTTAGGTGACAGTAAACATATTTAACATGAAGGGGTGTGTTGGACGCGTGGCTGAGGTGACCATCACAAAACCAGAGCTAAAAACTGCTCATAATTACAAATTGCAGCACAGGACCTAATGGACTGAACTCGGCGGAAGCAGCCTTCGAACGATAAATTCAGACTAATAATTTTTCAAAGTAAAAGAATGTGTACAGTAGATGTCAAATAACATTTATACGTTGACTGATAAAACTATGCATACTTGTTTGCTTAAGTGGCTGAATTAGTGGTTATCACGATGCTCTCGTTTGTTATTCAGTCACGATCATGTAATAACATTCCACTACTTATAGAAACAATGCCAAATGAATACATAAATCAGCATAAACTCAACTACACTTAAAGAAAACCACTCGTGTGACAACGTACTGACGTATGTTTTGAATTAAATTGCTTCATTAGTCAAAGTTGATTATTAGAAATATATTAGCAGCTTAGTATATGGACATCAAGAGTTACTCCAGGTTTCAATGTATGACAGTGATTGCCATGTTTTACTACATATTTTTAAAAGTATAAGAATGTATGTCAAAATTAACAGTGTGTGTCTAGTCTATGTATTAAATCAGGCGTCAGTTTTTTTAAAATGTCATTCTGTTGCAGACAGCAGGGGATTTTTCTTCTTATTCGGTGACCTCTTTGTTTAAAACCCGCGCCAGGTGTTTTTTTTCTAAAGAGTGACCTAGTTGAGCATTGTTGTGTGTTTGTTTATTTTTTGAATGAATGTGCTGTAATTTGACATCAAGTAAAAATAATAATTAGAAAAAATAAATAACACATCCCTTGATTTGCATAAATAAAACAGCCCATGTTCTGTTCTGTATGAAACATCTATGAAAGATTGATCTGATGAACAAAAATATAACAGACTGGTCTGAGGAGACACTTTATTTTTGTATTTCCCGAGGTCAACAAAGAGTATATTCATCACAGAAATAAACCATTCAATCTCTAGACGTCTCTACCGTTTATTTATAACAGTCATAAAAATCGCTGCCATTATTCCAGACCGTGTGTTGCAGGCAGCTGCTTTATTGGCTCCCGTACTCGGGACTTTATTCATCCTAAAAGCTCACCTGCTGCTTCTCAGACAGATCGGAGCCTCCAAAAGGAAGGTTTCCTGCCAAAGTCGAACGACCCAACGGGCCGAACTAACCGGGGCCAGATATCTAAACTGCATTTGGCGCATGAGCGCTCACAAAGTCGCGGGGTGGCTCCGCGTTGAGAGCGGCGCCCCCCCGTGGCCTATTTGCTCCACTGGACCGCCTCTGGTTTGGGAACCTCATAGTTGAGGGCGTCAAACTCTTGTCCCGGCCTCAGCTCCGGACCGGGAATCATGAGAGTCTGGAGGAGGAGAAAAGGGGCGGAGTCACATTTAGAGTCACGATACTACGAGATGTTTCAGGACTGAGGTTATGAAATGTTCAAAAACAGGAGAAAGAAACGGGAAAACGCCACATATTGCTTTATATCACAAAGGATGGTTCGCTGTGCGTCCTTAAAAAAAGTTTTTACTTTTTTTTAAACCTTCAGTTGTTTTTAAACGAAATAGTCACATTTTCCACAGTAACCGTCCCCAAACACAGGAGCAGCTGTATTACAATTATAACCATTATTATATTATTCATTCTGCTCTGGGTTACAGCAGGTGGCCGTCGGCTGGACAGATTGTTATCAGCAGGTGTTTGAGCATAAATTAATATAATTATTAGTCAAACCTCAGAGGTCTGGTGCAACTTTTTTGTAAGATTATTACATTACATGATGATTTAAATGAAATCCAAGTGGAAAAAGGAAACGATTAATCCGGGAGATAAACATCTCCGAATGAAATAAAAGCCAAAGCTTCTGTTCCTCCTGCTTCTCTACTTCAGTTTCGTCGATCACACTTTTTGTGTCGAGTCACTTCCCTCCGAGATTTATGGGAATATTCTCGTCAATAAGGAATGAAACCGGATCAAATATGACTGAGGATCTTCAGCACAGAGATTTTGTGTTTTTCGGTCAAAACAGTTTGGGTTTTTTAGATTGAATTAACAATCTCAAATTTATTTTATCACCAGTAAAGTTTTCTCAGTCGTCATGGAGAGGCATTTATTGATGGGAAAGCTCAGTAGTTGTTTATATTAAGTATGAAAGAGTTTGGATTGTGCTGTTTAATCTACATTGTCTTTAAAAAAAGACAGGATTGTTGTATTAGAATCCATCAGTCTTAACAGGTGCACCTAATAAATCCTCTTACATTCCCACGTGATGGAGAGTGCAGACAGTTTATTAAATCTGGGCTTTTGCAGTTTTTGGACATGAACCAAACAGCTGATATTTTAGGGGAAGAAGCAAAGGATGAATAAAAGCTTTATGAAGCACAGGAAGTGGAAAATAATGTACTGACAACGTGAGGAAGTGATACTGACAAGGTTGAAACACTTGGATGAGGTGGTTGTTAAAAGGGACGTATGGACTGGCTGGTTAATAAAGCCTTATTTTGGGCAGTAAGTTTGGCTTGGAACGCTGCCTTCTTCTGCTAAAAGAACCAGTGCAGCCAGCCAGCGCAGCGCACAGGGTCACCTTAATAATGGGGTCTTTGGCCGGAGCCCAGGACGGCACGATCTTCCCGTGTAGCCGCCATCGGCCGTAGGGGTTGACGAGGTGTCGTTCTATGACCAGGTACTCCAGGACGTCCTTCGACTGCTCCTCGCTGCCCAGCATCAGCCGCCCGAAGCGGTCGTAGATGGCCAGAATCTGCGGGTCGACAGAGCGCACGAAGATCCTTCAAAAGGGTGACCTAAATCCTGATATTGTCTCTGAATACTCAAAAATACAACTGCTCTCGAAGTGGCTTAAATAAACCACGTGAAACACGCGCGCTTTACACTTAAAAACACAGCATTCAAAAAAAAAGACGTGCACACAAACAGCTCACGCTTAAGTCACAAGTCGACTGCAGGCCAGTCCTACCTGTTTGGAGTGCATGCGGACCGTCACCTGGCCGTACAGGTTGCCCTTGGTTACCATGTCAGGGCAGCGGGCGTGGACCACTTTGGGCGGCTCCAGGGACTCCACAAACCTCCAGCTGATGGTCTTGTAGCGGTTCCCCCTCGTCATCTCCTGCCGGCGGGACAGAGGCGTGATGGGAGGAGTCAACGCTGAAATGAGTTGTGGATCGGAAAAGGTCGACATTAAGAGGAGCCACTTACGGGATAACACCTCTCCGTCACCAGGGAGTGAAGCTTCTCCTTGTTGAACCTGCGGGGAAAAAAACAGCAGTTAATCCCTCAAATGATCCCAAAGCCCACCTTCAGTCAGACAGAGCTAGAAAATAAATAACCTTTGAAAGTCTTTTAATCGGAGACAACCTGCCAATTGCTACGTCTTGCTCAAAGACAGAGTGAGACGGGGATCAACCCGTCGACCCTCTGGTTAAATGACGACATGCTCTACCCACATATATAAAATATATATTAATATTAATTATAAAAAATGTGTGCGTACAGGACTGAAGGATTTGGACATTGGATACTTTTTGTGATATATTTTTGGAAAATGTGCCGCCTTGTTTTTGCCAAAAACAACTTGAAAGAAATGTACTGAATTAACTTAATATATTTAAAGGGGACATTTAGAACCTTGTGGAGTCTGAGGCCAATTTGTGATTTTGCACTCCACAAAATTAATTGAATATCTATTTGTAAAGCGCTGTCCTGAATGGAGGAAATAAGAGTCATACTGAAGCAGCTAAAGGGACGTCAGCACAGATATTCACATGGAGTAGAGAGGGAGCGCCGGGAACGCAAGGTCGGTGGTTCAAACCCTGGCTGCTCCATGTCCCGAAGTGTCCCTGAGCAAGACACCCAACCCCTAATTGCTCCCAGACAGCCCTTACGGCTGCCCACTACTGATGGGTTAAAAATGTAAAAACCAGGTTAAGAATGCTATGCAAGTCGCTTTGGATAAAAGCAACAGCTAAATGTAATGTAAGCTAATCATCTGAGAAGCAGCTAGTTCATTCAAGTCAAATGAAGTTATTTTTTTTCCCACTTGGAGCAGACTTGACTTCAACAAATAACGGAAGGAATCTATAGACGACCTATCACTTCTTCAACAAATGTAATATTCTGGAGATTCATTATCTTCATTTTCTTACTGCGTCAGCGCGTTGTGGGCCTCCGTGAAGATTTCTTGAGCTCGCTCCGCAAAACTCTTTGTTGCAAACTCAGAGTCGTGATCTTTGATTTTACGGATCCTGTAGGAAACAACCACAGAATAAATAAGTCACGCTTTCTCCCGTTCACTGCAGAGCGGACCGTCTGGAGGTGTTTTCGTGGGAAACGGGTGAAACGAGGCGAGGAGGAGGAGGATGATTCAGGAGACGTGTTAGCTGCTTAGCTTACGCTAGCTGCGAGGAAGCGCTCTGTCGCATCTGCTCGGTTCGTTGTTTCAGGCCTTCTTTGGACAGAGTGGACAGACGAGCGTCGCCCTCCGGGGGGATGTAGGGGTCGAAGATCCCCGCTGTTAGAGACATCAAACAGGGACGATCAAACAAACAAATGGAACTCAGTGTTGTCAACACTGGTTTAAGGTTATGTTTGTTTTGACCACAGTTTTTGATGATCTTTAAATCATCGCTTTTATCCCTTCAAAATCTGACACACACGTATTCCTGTGGAGATGAACAAACGACGCTTGTACTACCAGTGCAGGCGATGTTGATGGGCCTCTCGACGTACTGCTGCTTGATGACGATGCCTGCCGCCCGGGCCTTGGCCTCCGGGTTCTCCTGCTTATGTCCCTTCTGCCCCACCGCGGGGGGGACGAAGTAGCGCTTCTTAGTGCGGACCGGCAGGTAGAGCGGGCCGGGAGGCCGCAGGTCCAGAGACGCCTCTGCATTCTGAGAGGACGGGTTATAAAAGGAAACTTTATTCATCCCAAACGGAAAGGCATTGCAACAAAGTGAGAAAGATATGTGGTACAAATAAAACAAAATAGATATTGTAATGCATGGGAGAAACTAAATGTACATAACGCTAGAAATGTATAATTATAATAATTCTAACAACCAAAATGGAGGGAATATTCAGATACTTTATCAAGTACCAGTATTAATACTACAGACACTAAGTATAAGTATGTAAATATGATAAGGAGAATGTCCTTATAAGTAGAAACTGTCCCCAGCAGCATTGTTGTACCATTATATAATATGTCATTAACACAGTATTGCTCATATAATATGTTAGATATTGTTCCATGTATTTCTAATCTCACCGTTAGCTAACGTTAGCTATGCTGGCGCTGTCAGAACGAGCTAGCTTCAAACATTAATCTTCATAAAAAGTAAAACCAATGAGCTGCTTCGACAACATATCGACTATTTGATAAAGTGAAGAGTATTTTTGTCGCTCAGTACCTTCAAACTGCTACATCTGGCTCTGTGAAGAGCGACCAGTGTCCTCTTCATGGGCAGCGCCATCTTGCTAACATTTGACAGAAAAAGCACTTCCGTTTTGCGCTTTCAAAACAAAACTCACTCTAGGACCGTGTTTTTGTGTTGGTCATTAAAACAATATTATACAATAAGTACGCAACCTAAACCAAAACAATGTGAATTGACTTATGCACGGCTTCAAAAGGAGTACTTGTTGGAAGGTCCAGTAGACTATTGAATCCATGAATGATACAAATGATTATACCAATTTTATTTGTATTTTTTCCAATCCATATTTCTGATTTTGTTGATGCATTGATTTGGTTTGTTTATTATCATATTATATGTCGTTTTATGTTTTTAAATAACCTGTGTATACCGGTATATCAACTAAAGACAGCAACACAGAAGTGCAAGTATAAATATTGCATTTAAAATCTTCCTGATGGAAAATAAATACCCAAAAGTGAAAGTACACCTAATTTAGAATCGCTCATTTGAAAAAGTCTTTATATATGTATTTTTGCCAAATAGATACAGGCAAAGTTTTAGCTCCAACTCATTCTGAGCATTTAAGATGTATGTGTGTTCAAGTATATGAATTTACACTAGTGAAAGTGGAACTCCCTTTAATTATTCATTAAGTGCTGGGCAGCTTCAATATAATAATGGATAATAATAAAATAATATATTTTTTAAATGATATAGTATAGAGCAGCATAATATTGTAATAATATAACATCAAGATTGTAACCTTTAATACTTTTTTAATATTTGCTAATTTAGTATTTTTACATTTTAGGAGCAATATTTTGCCAACGCCTTGTATATATACACATACCTCATATACATAAATATAATAATTTAGGGGCACGTTCGAAACCTACGCTCGCACAACGCAATGACGTCACGGGCACGCTGGCTGACGCTGCGTTAAGTTGAGTTGTTTGGGCTGTGTGCGGGGGGGGGGGGTTGAAGTGCTGAGAGGGTTCCAGTTGATGTTGCTGCTCCTGGGCCGCAGGGTTCCGCTGTCATTCGTACACAGACTCACTACCTGTCGTCCACCGCCGAGGCCCGTTCTGCTCCGCTCAGCTTTATTAAAACTCTCAGCGATAACTGGAGCCACACACACAACCGTCTTCGTAAGCGCAACTGGCCAACACACAGGAACCATGCCCGAAAGGAGGCCCTTCGTACGGTTACCAGCTGACGTTTACCCCGTCAACTATGGCTTGTGCCTGAAGCCCGACCTCATCGACTTCACCTTCGAAGGAAAGCTGGAGGCGCTGGTGGAGGTAACGTTGCGCCTTATTCACGGGGGAGGATTTTTTATCTGCATGGCGGGGATCTTGTTATGTAATCTGACCAGCTAACGTTACCAGTAGCTAGCTAATTTGCCTCGTCCGACTGATAACGACAATTTGTGTCGTTAAGCCACTAGCCCCCCTTGTAGCCACCTAGCCGGCTGTGCCGCCTTCAGCTAGCAGTGACGGTAGCCGGCGGCTGCTAGCCTGGCCAACCGTTTCACGACGGGTCCTCGCTGGCTGAAGATACCCACGAATAGGAAGCCAGTAATAATAATAATAATAATACTAATATATGGATACGTCTGCGACGAGCATTAAGCTAGCACAACAGTCCCGTAGACGTCGGCAGAGTTGCACTCTCATGTTAGCTTAGCGCCGTGGACGTTAGCCTGCTAGCAGGCTAGGCTACTTTGCAATGCGCTTAACGTTAATGTGTTTTCAGGAGCAGTTCGTCCTTTGCCAGCAACTTTAACCCCTCGGTACACCAATGCATTGCTATGAATCTAGATGGATTGGTCCGTTTGAGGTCACTGAGGTTGTCAAGTAGCCAAGTAGCGGCTAGCCACTGTTTGCTAAATCATGGGAACCCCATGTTGCCCCCTCCCACCTGCCCCTCTGGTAGAAGTATCCAGAGCCTTAAATGAAAGCACTATTTTTATGCCACCCTATGAGAACGCTTCCCCTAACCTCGCTGAAATAAAACAAAAGTATATATTTTAGCTGGAAATTAAAGTAATTTAGCAGGAAGACGTTCTTAGTCAGTGATAAACTATTAAAAGGTTCTATAATGTTTCTGAATTAATAATGCAGTAGTATGTGTGTTACATTTTCCCTTCTAAATGTTTGGTTGCGGTTAATTCAGACACATGTGTGTGTATATACTGTTGTGCAATCTACAGCAATGTGTAATTCTATAAGATCATCCTGTGCTTGTGACTCCTCATGAAAACAGAGGCTTGTTTTCAACTTTGTGACGATGCAGTTTCCATCTGATGCAAGTTTATGATGCACCGATTAATTACCTGTAGGAGGATTGCAATCAGCACTTAAAGGAACACTGCATCCTTTAGTGTATCACACACATTTAAACACATGTGGTATCAATAAATATGGCCTCATTGTTTTTGTTTTTTTTATAGAGCTCAAAGGATGTGAAACATTGTAATCTGAAAAGGAACTAAACATCCTATCAATCTAATGGATTAAGTTGGATATTTCCCTCATTACATGTAGTGTATATTGGGGCGGTCAAAAATGAGTTTGAATATTCGCTTTAAAAAATACATATGTTCGAATATCTGGTTCCTAGGGCTGTCAACGAATGTTCTAGTAGTTGAAAATAACTATTCGAATGTGAAAATGAATGTTCGAATGTAAAAACAAAAAACAAAAACGGCATTCATATAAAATAGACTAGAACAATTTTATTCGTGCAATATACAGTCAGTAGTCAAGCGTGCCCGCTAAGCAGACAGTCGCGCCGCGTTTTTTTTTTTACATTCGAATATTCATTTTTAACAACGATTCGAATATAGAATATTCGCTGACAGCCCTAGTTTATATAAACTGTTGGTTTAGATTGAAATACTCGGGTAATGTAAAAGAACTACAAACTCTATAAGCTCTGTAGTAAACGCTCTACACTGTCCTGTGGGTCAAATTAGCATTTTATAGAGCAGCTCCAGTTGAGTTTAATGTTTCAAACCATCGGCACCATGTGAGGAATGACGTTTGCTGCTGCTGGTTAGCTCGCGGTTTGACGGTAACTGGTTAGTTGTTGGTTCCCTGAGGCTTCTGCCCTCTGTGGCCACTACGTGACTAACCCATCAAACCACACGGCAGCTGGCTCTCCATGTATTTCTGAGAAGAATTTGTGCTGCCGGAGTGTAAGTAGCCTGTCAGCTGATCGTCCTCCCCCCCCCTGTGTCGGGGTAAACAGTCACTCAACGCACATTATCGGAGCAATCGAGATAAACGGCGTACTCCTGTGTTATGGTCTGACTGCATTGCTGTTGTTAGTTTTTCTTTCTTCCCTCCTGGGATATATATACAGCTTTCCTATCGACCACAGATGATATTACAAGTAGTAAATAAAACATAAGATAACTCCAAGGACCATGAGTCAAATATTAAATGCACAGCAAACAGCGGGAAATCAAAGTAAATGTTTTACACGACCACAAGTCCAAAACTCCAAAACAAAGACAATCATCACGGTTGAAGAGCCAGTCTTGAGATTACTTATCAAAGGAGTTAATGATTCTCTTTCTGCTGATCAATTCATCGGAAGTTTGCACTGTTGTTTTTTTGAGAGGTTTGTCTCATTTAGTTGGGTATCTTGTTGGCACAACGACAGAACTGACGCCCAGCACGAGGAATGTGTTTTTAGGAGATCATGTGCTTGTTACTGTTCAACGTGTGATCTCTATTAGCGTATTTAAACCAACCGTATGGATTAGACATCCAATTAAGACTTGCATGTATCCAAAAGTGTCATTTAGATGTTTGGGGAGTAAATTGCAAACTCCTAATGAAAGTTTATTGGAATCCTCTGCTTGAAAAAATGGGAAAACTCTCCAGCAGTTTAAGTAACGACCGTTTTCCCCACGATTTGTGCACAGACGTCTGAAATACGGTTCTTCTCTGCCGCTGCGCATTAATAGTGGCCGTCGCCACTAACTGACACTATTAACGTTGAATAACACGAAGCGTTCAGCTCAGAACTACTCAAAACAAACCACTTCCTTCTACACTCTCAGGTCTAGTTGGAGTTTTACGCCAACGCAGATATTGCAGAGGTTAAATTGTGCTGTTTCATGTCAATATTTACAGGTTACACAAGCCACAAATCAGATTGTGATGAACTGTGCCGACATCGACATCATCACGGCGTCCTTCGTGCTGCCGGGCGGCGATGGTGAGGCTCGCGCTCTTCTCCGTTAATAATGCACGAAGTTGCAGTTTGTAGGTATCGACTATTTGAAATAGGAAAGGGGGGGGGGTGTTGCACGCTCACGCTGCCGTGTCTTTGTCTTCTCCTCTATTCAGAAATTAACGCCACAGGATTCAACTATCAGAATGAGGACGAGAAAGTCACCTTGTCGTTTCCTAGCGCCTTACAGAAAGGTGAGCGGCAGCTCGTCCTTCTAGGGAACACTTTTCACCCGTAATGCTCTTGAAGAATGACGTATTAACCCTTCCTTCCTTCCGCAGGCTCTGGCACGTTGAAGGTGGATTTTGTCGGGGAGCTGAACGACAAAATGAAGGGGTTCTATAGGAGTAAATACACGGCCCCCACCGGGGAGGTCCGCTACGCTGCCGTCACTCAGTTTGAGGTGAGCGAGTCAAACGGGATGTTTGGGGAATTTGAGAGTGTTGCTCAACCCGCGGCTTGTTGCATCACGCGAGGGGCGTGGCGGTCATGTGACTTGTTGGTTGGTTGGGTGGGGGAGAATGTGTCCTACAGATGAGTCAATGTCTCAAATGTCATCCTGCTTGTTCATGTGGGGGGGAGGAGGGGCTCTTCAATTAGAACCCGCCGGGTCTCCAGCTACTGTTTACAGCCCCACGCTTGTGTGCGCACGCTGGATAAGATAAATGTAGGGAGATAAGGTGACGAGAGGGCGACGGGGGGAGACACAGCTGGTAGAATGTGGATGATTGGAGTGTCTACAACCCCATATTTCTCATTTTAAAGAGATCTTTTTTTTACCGAAATAAATGCGCCAATCTTAATCGCTTTGCATCATTGGCAACATTTCATTTGGAGGGAGGGAAGGAAGTAATGAGGGAGGGAGGGAGGGATGTGTGCATCCAAAAAGTTAGGCGGAAGTGTTAAACTCGAGCGCACACAAAGGGACGGAAGTAGTCGCTTGAGAGCGAAGTTGAGAACCCGCCTACTGAACACCAGCTGAGAGGAGAACATATCTTTATGATCTAAAAGATTAATGGCACTACTTTAGCCGCTGAAGAAGTCTCCGGGTTACTTCCCCACGTCATGCGTTGAAACCGGGTGGGATTCGCAGCGACTCGCACGGACCGCTCGCCAAAGTGGGAAATGTTTCAGGAGCGCGACCAGAAAAGAAATGAAAGGCCCCTTTGTTCCAGGGCTGGTCAGCAGATCTAATCATCGGCTCCGGGGTTTTTTTTTATTCAAAGGAAATGCCACAACTAAATATGTTGTTTTTGGTATGTCTGCATTGAAAAACAGCTGGCAGGTGGGTTCTTTTTTTCACCTGACGGAGACAATAAATAGAGCGCTCTGAGTGTAGCACAGCTCCTGTAACAAAAAGAGGCCGCTGCTGCTCACACAGCCAAATGACTCCTGAAAGGACAAATGCAAGAGGAAAATACCAGAAGTCTTTAGGTTTCCATCGATGAAACGTGAAAGCCAAGACTTGGAATAAAAGCACACGCACACAACAGTCTGCAGATGCAGCTGGTTGCTCTTTGTATCTTTTTCATTGTCAGACCCACAACCAGCGCAGAAAAGCAGTAATAAAAGGATTTGACGAGGTTATCGTGAGGTTTTTATAGAGCGTATCCTCATGTAATAACTGCCCCTCCTCTTCTCCCCCCAGGCTACGGATGCTCGCAGAGCTTTCCCCTGCTGGGATGAGCCAGCTATCAAAGCCACCTTTGACATCGCTCTGATAGTTCCCAAGGACCGCGTAGCCTTGTCAAATATGGTACGTGTCACATGGTCTCTCCGCCGAGGCTCCAGACGCCAGAGTCCCGCTCTGCTGCCAACTTTCTATTACGTGTGTGTGTGTGTGTGTGTGTGTGCCTCCACTTTCCCACTTTAGCTTACATAACCGTGGGCAGACTGCCGCTGCATATTTTACCTCTTGGCTAATGTTATTTTTGCCGTTGTGGGAAATGCAAACTACCGTAGAGACAAAGAGTCCTTTTTTCATTAAGTTCCGCTTGCAGCCAAATTGCATCACCGATGCTCCGCGGTCTCGGATCATTACTAACGAGCCAAATTCATCTTCTCAGCAAGTCTACTTTGACCCCTTCTTTAAAAAAGTGGGGCACAAACATTGAGGGTCGGGGCGAGCGTCTACGAGTGCTGTGATAACTGCAGGCCAGAAGTGTCGACACTGATGTGAAGGGAGAAGTCTGGCGATTAGGGATGAGGAGTTGTTCCCTCGGGTACAAAGGCTTCTGCTAACAGGCATTGTTTGTGAATCACAGCCCGACGTCTCCTCTTCCTCTGAGCCCTTAAGTACAGTGAGCCTCGCCGTTGCCCCGGGTGACGTGTTCCTTAATTACCATAAACACACACTTTAGTTTATTTAGTCTCTTCCAGAGCACACTGCCCTGCTGTCACAGACACCCAGCACAGCACCAAATAGTCTCCAACAAATGCACTATTTCCTCCTTTTCTGCTGATTTTTAGAAAAAACTACAGTAAGAAAATACTTTGTATTTACGAAGACTAATGTCCTCCGTAGGAACCAATGGACTAAGAGCCACAGACACATTGATGGTTATAATCTTTTAATGATTTGGAAACGATAAGAAAAATGCTTTTTTTTTAAAATGTAATTTCCAGATGATTAGCTTAGTTGCACAATCCGGTTAAAGGTTTACTTTTACAGAGCGTCGCCGTTAGTGGTTTCCAGGTGATTCGTGCACTTCAAGTGTTGACTGTGTAAATGTCCCCCGCTGATGGTTTGTTGGACCAGACTGCGACCGTGTGGCGTTTAATAAACATTTCAGCCTCCACAGCTGCCAGTGCAGCTTTAGACTTTGTGTCTGGCAGCATTACGCAACATCTCTCTGTGAGAGCACAAGAGAATCAGAAGGTCGCAACTTCAGCGGCGACGCGCCGACGTCGGCGGCTTAACCCGACCGCCTCCGTCCCTCCGTCCAGAATGTCATCGACCGGAAGCCGTGCCCGGAGGACGCAAACCTGGTGGAGGTGAAGTTCGCCACCACGCCCATCATGTCCACCTACCTCGTCGCGTTCGTCATCGGGGAGTACGACTTCGTGGAGAGCCAGTCGTCGGACGGCATCACGGTGCGCGTCTACACGCCGGTCGGCAAGGCGGAGCAAGGGAAGTTTGCGCTGGAGGTGAGAGACGACGTTTGGATTCTCGCGCCGAGCCCAGGCGGCTCCGCGGAGTCTACGCAGCAGTTTGGTCTCTGAGGAGTTGATCATAAATGAGTCCCGACATTTAAAAGCTGATTTTTCTGGGGGGGGTTTTCTCCGCAGGTTGCGACTAAGACCTTACCGTTCTACAAAGACTACTTCAGCGTTCCTTATCCGTTGCCTAAAATTGATCTAATAGCCATCGCTGATTTTGCTGCTGGTGAGTAGCTGCCAACTCCACGTTCAGGACTTCAGACGTCCCCACTGACGATGTGTAACGTGTGCCGCTCCCTTCCCCTCAGGTGCCATGGAGAACTGGGGCCTTGTTACCTACAGGTGGGACTCTAGTACACACACACACACACACACACACACACACTGAGCCATGAACTCTAGTCCTCTCGTATTAGTCCTCATGTTCCCAGCTTAGAGGAGTCGGAGTAGTTGACTTTCCAGCGGTCCAACATGATACTTTTTTTCATATTCTAGTAATCTCGGGTTCTGCGGTTCGGACACAACGAGCAGCATCTCGCGGCTCTGGTGGCGGGCACTGATATTAATAATGACAATAAGGATATAGAATAACAGTAAACCCGCCGTGTCTTGTTTCCTTCGACCTTCTTGTGTCGTCCGGTCTCGTTTCTCGGTTGACCGCCTTGAAGGCTTTTTAATTGCCTTATGTTCCGCCGGCGTGCCGCCACCTGTTAGCTGTTCAGGCGTGTGATGAGCACACACATGGCGGCCGGCTCCAGCCACCTGCACGCCGGCCTCACTCTGTTGTTGTTGTTGTTTCCAGGGAGACGGCGCTGCTGATCGACCCCAAGAACTCCTGCTCGTCCTCCAGGCAGTGGGTGGCGCTGGTGGTCGGACACGAACTCGCCCACCAGTGGTTCGGAAACTTAGTCACCATGGTAACAAGCCGTTGTCTCTCCACAGCCATTTGTGAAACTGACCGAAACCATTTAGATTTCATGATCAGCTCGGAGTATGAAAGTCATCGTAACAAACGCATCATGGAAGTAATGATTCAATAACTGGATCTCTAATTAAAAGAAAGGAAGATCTTAATACTCATTAGTATCTTTATTGTAGAGCATCATAGGATAAGAACCCTGAGGACCCGTGTGTGTGTGTGTGTGTGTGTGTGTGTGTGTGTGTAAACAGGAATGGTGGACCCACCTGTGGCTCAATGAGGGATTTGCATCCTGGATCGAGTACCTGTGTGTGGACCACTGCTTCCCAGAATACGACATCTGGACCCAGTTTGTCTCGGCTGACTACACCCGCGCTCTGGACCTGGACGCGCTGGACAGCAGCCACCCCATCGAGGTGAGCCCCCACCCGCCACGCAGCGCGGGAGGCTCTAAGTCTGACTCGCTAACACGTTGGTGTCTGTGCTCCAGGTGAACGTGGGCCATCCGTCCGAGGTGGATGAAATCTTTGACGCCATCTCCTACAGCAAAGGGGCGTCGGTGATCCGCATGCTGCACAACTGGACGGGGGACGAGGTTGGTTGTCGAACGCTCGCGCCGTTGTCTCCGCGTTGCCGCCCGCGTGGTTTCATATCGAGGTTCACCGCTCACTCTTCCTCTTGTAGGACTTCAGGAAAGGAATGAACGCCTATCTTCTGAAGTTCCAGCATAAGAACGCTTCGACAGGTGAGAACGCGCTGGAAACGTTTTCCCCTTCAGGGTGAAAGTTGAATCGATTTTTTTTATTTTTATTTTTTATTTCCCCATTAATCCCTCCGACCCGCCGGCTGTCTCCCACAGAGGACCTGTGGGAATGTCTGGAACAGGCCAGCGGGAAACCCATCGCCGAGGTGATGAGCTCCTGGACCAAACAGATGGGCTTCCCCATCATCGTGGTGGAAGAGGAGAAGGTGAGTGTCACCGGATTAAACTGCAGACTGGACCATTGAAAATGAACGTCAGCAGCTCTGTCCGCAGACCGAGCAGCTGAGACCCCCACACACACACACACACACACACACTCTAACCACGATGCCTATTCATAGCAGGGTGACGAGCGCATCCTCAAGTTATCTCAGAAGAAGTTCTGTGCCAGTGGACCACACAACGGTGAGGGTTTAATACCATATTACAATTGACGTTCTTTCTGTTACCCCTTGTTACTGCCTGATACTATATATTCGTTATGTTAATTTTATATTGGTGGATCACGTATGTCGCTCTCTGCTTTGCTTTTGACTGGCGTGCCGTCGGGCAGGTGAGAGCTGCCCCAGCTGGATGGTCCCCGTCAGCATTTGCACCAGCGAGGACCCCAAATGCACGAAGCTCAAGGTTCTGCTGGACAGACCCGAGACCACCGTGACCCTGAGCGGCGTGGCGCCCGACCAGTGGATCAAGGTGAGGGCCAGTCGCCCAGTCAGAGCGGTGAATAAAACCATGATGTGAACCTGCTGATAGTCGGACTCTGTTGGACGAGGTGTCCGTGTCATCTAGCGTCTCTCTAATGTCACTTATTTAAACATTCCGTTTGATTTTATGGAAATGTAGTTTTAATGTGTTTGCTGCTCTTTCCCCGTGAAATAGTGATGCGGTCGCTTGTTCGTGCTCCTAATTCTACGACCTCTCTGCGTCATACGTGTAAAACTTTAAGACGGCGCCGCGTTTGTCTTTTTCGCTCAGACCAAAAGTTAAAGGAAGTGGTCATCGGACCTACACGGGTTCAACACTTTTGATTTGTCGCCGTGTCTTTTTAGCTCAGATTTAGCTCAGATTCTCTTTGGGCCTCAGATGTTCTCTGTGTGAGGATTGAATCTGTTATATTCTAGTCTGCTGATTTTAGAGTAGAATGTGAGTGGACTCGTTGGACGTCTCGCGGGTAGAAGCTTCCATCGGCAGTGTGAATGAAGGGTGAAGAGGCTTTTACTGCGCTCTGTAAATGATCGACTACGTTTTAGAGGCTGCAGGCTGCTCTTCCTCTTCCGAGTTGACTAAAAGCTGAGCGTTAGCGTTAGCTCGGCGCCGCGGGGTGACGGAGTGACACGTTCTGACCCAGTTGTGTCCGCGCTGCTCACAGATCAACCCCGGCACCGTGGGCTTCTACCGCATCCAGTACAGCACGGCCATGCTGGAGAGCCTGCTGCCGGGGGTCCGGGACCTCAGCCTGCCGCCCGTGGACCGACTCGGCCTGCAGAACGACCTCTTCTCCCTGGTGACTCTCACTCACTCACTCACGGAGCTACAACATGTTTGTTTGTTTGTTTGTTTTTCTTAATGAGACTTTCGTCCCGTGTAACCCGACGGCGCTGGATAGAAAGGAAAAATGAGGGATTGTGGATTTTTACTCTTTGAGGTGTTTAATATCTGACATTTAGTTTCTTAAACAGTTTACTAGCACGAAGTGATTTATTGTCAGTAAAGTGAATTCTGGTTGAATGCTTTTATCCGGTGGGACGTGATTTAGTTTTAGAGAAACTGGGGGGAAAACGCCTCCTGAGCTGGTCGTGTGGCTTCAGTCTCGCGCAGGCATGATCAGCACGGTGGAGGTGCTGAAGCTGATGGAGGCGTTCGTCAACGAGCCCAACTACACGGTCTGGAGCGACCTCAGCAGCAACCTGGGGGTGCTGTCCTCGCTGCTGTCCCACACCGAGTTCCACGAGGACATCCAGGAGTTCATCCGGGACCTGTTCACCCCCATCGGCCTGGAGCTCGGCTGGGACTGCAAGCCGGGGGAAGGTGAGCAGCGAGCGTCCATTTGTTTCTATCGAGTGCAACATTTGTATTCCAGCACCGTGAGTAAGATCAACCTTCCCGTTGCGCGGCACCGACCCGCTTCGTCCCCTCTGGGCCGCTGGCGTGTTTGTCCTGCAGGTCACCTGGACGCCCTGCTTAGAGGTCTGGTTCTGGGGAAGCTGGGGAAGGCGGGTCACAAACCCACGCTGGAGGAGGCCCGGCGGAGATTCAGGGACCACGTGGAGGGAAAGCAGGTGCTGCCTGCCGACCTGCGGAGCCCGGTGAGCCAAACCACTTGTAGCCGGCGTGTTGGCTGGTAAAACATCAGAGGAGGGAATAAACATTAGATTTGTCTTCGCATCGCAGACGCGTCATATTGGACTTTGTCTTCCAGGTGTATCTAACCGTGCTGAAGCACGGCGACAGCGCCACGTTGGACACAATGATGAAGGTGAGACAGCGGCGAACATTTTATTCAACCTTCATCACTACGAGTTGTTGCTTAAGCCGATTCTCACTTTAAATGATAACCAAGAGATGTAAACAACGATCACAATCAGCAAAGCTGTAGGAATGTCACAACGTCTCATTGGTTTGTGGACGGATGTTCTGATGTCGTTGTATTTGCTGAATTTTGCCCTATTTTTTTTAATTGATAGAAACCTGTCAATCATTGTGTAGCCCCGCCCTAAAGCAACGCCTGCTTCATGGTCAGTTTGACTCTAAATGAACAAGAAGACTTGAAACTAGAGCCTGAGACCATAAACTCATGTTTACAATGTTTACTGAGGGAATAAATCAAGCAGTCATCTTGAATGAGACCAGAGGAGTCGCCCCCTGCTGGTCACTACAGGAAGTAGTGATCAGTGACCCCAGATGTCCTCCATCACGTGTGTGTGTGTGTGTGTTCCCCATTGATCTCTTGAATGTCTGTCTCCGTCACTCGTTCCTTTCAGCTCCACAAACTAGCAGACATGCAGGAGGAAAAGAATCGCATCGAGCGAGTGCTGGGCGCCATCTCCGCCCCCGACCTCATCCAGAAGGTCCTCAGCTTCGCCCTCTCGGTAACACGCCACACGTTCGCTCTCTTGATGCGCGGCTTTGGGTTTTGTCTTCCTGCAGAACCGAGTAAAGTGTCCCTTTTTTTTTCTGACCAGGTGTTTCTTGGTTTATCTGAACTTTGAGTCGGCTGGTAGTTCTTGATTAATGATTACGAGGCTCAAAATAAAACGCCGCAAGCTTTTCGCTTTTTGGTTCAATGTCCAAGTTCCCACCAGCCGATGGCGCCTCTTCTTCTTCAGAAAACCCCCCCCCCCCCCCACCCCCTCCCTTCTCTGGGTCCTGTCCCACCGCAGGAAGACGTCCGTCCCCAGGACACGGTCTTTGTAATCGGGGGCGTGGCCGGCAGCAGCAAACAAGGCCGGAAAGCGGCCTGGAAGTTTGTCAAGGACAACTGGGAGGAGCTTTATAACCGCTACCAGGGCGGCTTCCTCATATCGCAGCTCATCAAGGTGAGGGACGATCAACTGCACGCTTCCGGAAACGGGTCGTTACTTTAACTCGGGCGCCTTTTGTGTTCGAAACTAAAGCTCTTCCGTGTTCTCGTGTCTCTGCAGTACACCGTTGATGGCTTTGCCATCGACAAAATGGCCGCTGAAG